CAGTTTTTTCTGAAAATTTCTACAAGTTGAGAAAAGAGAGAAAAAGTCCGAAATAATTCAAGCTTGCAAAAAATATCTTTGAACTTGAGAGAAACTTCTCCAAAATTAATTTCACTAAATGAATTTTCTATCAAGTGTATGACTTTTAAAACAATGAATTTCAACCAAAGGATTTTTTTAAGAAGTTTGACATTTGGAAAGACTTAGATGGGTTAGAAATACCAAATTAGGCCAATGTTCACAAAGAACATTAGTCAAATTGCTTAAACCCACCATATGCATGTTTGGACCAAATATGATTAAAGCAACATGTTGGAGAAATGACATTTTGTTCCAAAAACAAAAATTTCACTCCAAAAGCTTTTTAGAACACTTGAGATAAAACTTGAAACGCTTTGAAACATTTTTCACAAACTTTGGACCGTCAAATAAGAGTTTTGAATTTTTACCAGAGGGACTCTTTTAGAAAACATTTCATGTAAGCTTGAGCTAAAAGTATTTGGGTCAAAACAAACTTTTCGGTTAAGCCAAGATTTTAAAACTATGTTTTGAGGCAAGTTGGACCGGAAGTTCCGGAAAAATTGGTAGGAAGTTCCTATCAATTTTTCCGGAACTTCCTATCGGCCCTCTTTGTCTCAACAGAGACTGCTGACCGGAACTTCCAAGCATTTTGGCCGGAACTTCCTAGCCGACAAAATCAGTACCCGAGAGTACCCGAGAACTTTTAAGATTTTGCTCCAAATCACCCGAACAAACTCGGAATTTCACGAAATTTGAACCACAAGCTCACAACAACATGGGAAATCAGATGAAACAAGAAATTACCAAAATATTTAATATTTCATCACCAAATTTAAAGAACTTGGAAAACCAAAGGTAAAAACCAAGTTTTTGGGAAACCATCAAAATCCATGGTGCTCGTGCGAGGGATTTGTTTGAGGATCACCATATCTTTGATCACACTTGTCCTAGCACCAATAAAATCACTTTTAAAGGATTCATGTTTAATTCATTGCTCAAAAAACGATAAAATGTTGAAGTTCCAACAAAATGACCCAAAAGGCAATTTTGAGCGAATGAGTTGTTTTGGAGACGTTTTGGTTTTTATGAGTTTGAAATACCTCCATGAACCAATATACATCACAATATATGGTTCTAGTGGCTAAACTCACTCGATGCCATAATAGGACCAAATATGGTCAATATAAGTTTTCATGTGAATTTTGAGATCAAATAATTTCAAATCGTTTATCATATAAAATATATTTAAATACCAAAAACATTTGAAATGACCAACTCTAGTGGCTTGACAAAAGGATTATTTGCAAAAACCTTTTAGGACATATTTTGACATAAACACATTTTAAAAGCAAAAACAAGATCCTAGCATCTACATTTAGAGGCTAAAAACATTTTCTTTCCAAAACTTATTTTTGTTTTGAATCAACTTTTGAAATACTTCTCAAATTGGTGTAGGAACCTTTTTGAACAAACAAAACCAAGTTTTCACAACTAATTTTATAGAGTTTGACTTTTTAACTAAAATAGAATTTTGAAGACTATTATAGCATCAATTTAATCAAAACACATTTGAGGGATGCAAATGATTTGAGAAGTTATAACACTCTCCCTAAATGTGATAACCAAAACATTACTCGAAATTAAATTTGAAAAATGAATCAAGCAACATTAAAGGATAGACATTATACACAAGCGAAAACCTACACAAGGTTAGGACATAGATATTTCAATGTAAATACTTGTTACCGAGATGGCATTGGTTCTTAATGTAGAGCAATTATTCACATCCTTGATTCCATATTTGGCTCATGGTACAAACTTAGTTCTTCAAGGATGAATTGAGCCTCCAATGCACCTCCAAGTACCTAATTGACAATCTAAGCATATTTTGGTACCCAAATCACGTTGGGTCCATGGATGTTAGTCACAAGAGATTTAGGCACCCAAATGGCCTTTGTGCTAGCATGTAGTGAACTAATCACCCTAGTAGCACAAGTGCCATTTATGGCCTTCCTAAGCAAATTGTGATGAAATGAGAGGTTTGGCTTAGGAATGTTACCAATGGGACAATTTTTACCAATATGTCCCTTAGCCTGGCAATTGTAGCAAAGTTGAGTTTTGCTTTTATCTTGCTTTTTGACTTGTTTGTTGCCGGTTTGCCTCTTGCTTGATCGGTTGCAATGATCATCCTTCTTGTGAGGACAAAATCCAATTTCATGCCCCTTCTCATTTCAACCATAGCACTTCCTTTTGTTGATTCTAGATGTCTTTGTTGGAAGTGTGATTTCATCATCAATCTTGCGAGGACAACTTGAGGCAAAGTGTCCCTCTTTGGTGGACTTGAAGAACTTGTGAGCAAGATCCTCATTCTTGTTCAACTTCTTCTCTTTCTTCCAAGGACAATCTCTCACATGATGTCCCATTTTCTTGCACTTGAAGCAAGTAATGGAAGTTTTGTTCTTCCTTTGATCTTGCCCCTTGATCTTGTTGTTGGACTTGATATCTTCTTGATAGAACTTGTTGCAAGCTACGGTTGTTCCCTTCTCAAGCTTCTTCACCATGCTCTCACGGTTATCTTGAGAAGGTTGAGCATTGCCAACAAGTCCATGATCGATGCGCTTATCCTTTTTCTCTACATAATCCAGGTCACATATAGTGCTCGGAAAAATATTTGCTTGAGAGCAATAAGAGTTAGCACAAGTAAAGTCAACTTGAATATGAGGCACATAGGATTTTACCGTTGTTATGATCACCTCATGAGTTACTTCTAGCATGGCATGTGAATCTACAATATTTCCATGAGAGCACAAAAGTTCATCATACTTTTCTTGTAGGTCCACATGCTTGCTAGTGAGCTCTACAAGTTGAGCTTTAAGCTCTAGATTTTCTTTCTCCAAAGATGATTTCTCCATGATGCAAGAATATTCATCGGAGCGTGGAGATGAGCATCTTGGAGATGTAAATTCTTCACTTGGCCATTTTTTTCCACATACTTCTTCCTTCAAAAGATTAGTTTCACAAGCACTGTAGGAGGTAGAAGTATCCACATTGACGCTACTCACCATTTCATTACCTTCAATGAAGACATGTGTCTATGAGGAGGTGAATGTGGTGAGGCAATCTTGACCATTGGATAGAATCACTTGAGGCTCTTTACAAATTGTCGATGAATTTGAGTACTCCACAAGTGGTTCTTCTATAGCGAGCTTTACCTCATCACACTCGGACTTGTCATATCTCTCCTTGAGTGTGTTCCAAATGAGATGAGCATCCTCAAGTGGCATGATGGATTCAAACACATCTTCACTCAAAGCACTAAACAAAACATTAGTAGCTTGAGCATTGAGATGTATGCATTTCTCTTCCTCTTCAAATGATAGCATTTGATCACTAGGAGGAGAAATGCTCACAACTATAACTTGCTCTATTTGAGGACCCATGGCCCTAAACACATAAAGAATGCGAGTACTCCAAGACATGTAATTTGAACCATTTAGCATGAGAAGTTCAAGGAAATTTTCACCTCTTGTTGACATTGTAGCATCTTGAGTATCAACCATATTACCCCTTCACACTTTTCTCGCCATCCCCCGACATCTTCTCTCCAAGCGGTTAAGCCAATCCAGAGATTAGGCTTTGATACCAATTGAAAGGGCCTTGATGTCGCCTAGAGGGGGGGGTGAATAGGCGTTCCTAAAATTTACTTCAAATCGCAGCGGTTAAAATCAGAGCCCGGAACTTCCTGGCAAAAGGTCCGGAACTTCCTGGCAGCTTTTTCTCACAAGCAGAGAAAGCTGCCCGGAACTTCCGGAGTTCTTCCTAGGAACTTCCTAGCAGTTGTGAATTGCTATTTCAAGCACCTCACAACAAGTAAATTAAATCACAAGGAAGCCTAAACCATAGAGAGGTACAACATGTCTCAAACAAGAGTAATACACATGAAAATACACAAGATATCACAAGTGATCGTACAATGGGAGACATGATAGCACAACTAGGCAAATAAGGAGATAAGCATCACAATCACAAAGATAAAGAGAGTGGGAGGAGACAAAAGATTTGTTTTCCGAAGTTCGGATTCTCCACTGAGAATCCTACGTCTCCGTTGAGGAGCTCCAAAGAACCGAGTCTTGATTAACTCCTTGCCTCACCAAGCAAAGGCCTAGGAAGAGGTCTCCGGTATTCAAGCCAACACCCCTAGGTACTTCTCTTTGGTTTCAAGTGACCACTAAGATCCCTAACTTGAACACCAAGAGAACACCACAAGTGAGGATTGCTCTACCAAGACGACCTCCTAAACCTCAGCTCGGAATTCACTCACCGTGTATTCCGTTTCCTTTCGGAGGTGGAATAACGCCCTCACAAACTTGCCCGGGTCAATCCACAACCTTGTTGGAAACTCGCGGGCGACACCTAACCGTCTAGGAGGTCACCCTCCAAGAGTAACAAGCTCCAAATGACAGCCCAACGAGATACCCCAAGTGCTCAAGTCATCCTAGCCTTCAAAACCTTCTCCAATCCTCACCACCACCCTCAAAATCACTCTCTCACTCAAGAAATACACAAGATTTGGGTGGAGAAAGCAAAATCACATTGGGAGAGGCTAGAACAAGCTAGGGAACACAAGAACTAAAGTGGAATGGCCAAAGGGTGACGTGGGGACGAGATCAATATATATAACGGCTAGGTGACGTCATCTAGACGTTACTCACAAGTTTGAACTGGAAACCTGCCAGGAGGTTCCGGGTAAAAGTGCCAGGAACTTCCGGGCAGCACTTAGGAAAATTTTCAACCTCACCTCGGCGCCAGGAAGTTCCGGACAGAACCTTCGGGTGGGACTCTCTGTCCCGAGTAGAGCCATTTTCAAAAATAGCTCCTAAAAATATTTCAACACTTGGACACTACTAAGAGCACTTGTGTTATCTCAGAACCACACTTGGAACCCCTCTTAATAGTACGGTTTTTCCTAAACTCAAAGCGAAAAGGTAAACTAGTCTAACTCGGCTCCAAGTCTTCTTGCCGCTTTGTTTTGGGGGGTCTCCAAGCATCCTAGCCCACTCCTAAGCAACCTGGGACTAATACACCACTAAGAATGTCATCTTCTTGCTTCACCTTGAGGGTTGTCAACGTCAACGCCAGTTCGCTATTGGGACTATTCTCACCTACACTCATTAAGCATATTAGTCCCAAATCAATTATACCTTTGCTTTGATCAATGCCCACTTTGGATTTTGACTTGATGTTCATCGAAGAACCACATCCTCTTGATCCTCGACATTCCATCTTGCGGTCTTCTTATAATTGATACGGATTACTCATAGCTTCAAATGGCCTCGCACGGTCCATCATGACCATCATGACAAAGCCTTCACTCGCCCTTCACCACCGGATTCGGTCCATCGGCGCCAAGCCTCTTGCTTGCCCTTCACCCCACACATGGTCCATTGTAGCCGAGCCTTGCTTGCCCTTCACCGTTTTGCCATTAATAGCCACCTCATACTCCGCATCATCAATGCGTTCACTTACGCCTCATTAAGGTATAATGTCCATCTTCTAGCCGAGCCTTGCTTTCTCTTCACCGGTTTGCCATAGATAGCCATTTCATACCCCGCATCATCAATGTCTTCACTTGCTCCTCATCAAGGTATAATGTCCATCTTCTAGCTTCAATCTTTTAACTTGATGCCGGAACTTAACCTAATCTCACCAACTCATGAAAATAGTTAGTTCCAACAATGGGTTGTCATTAATCACCAAAACAATCACCGCACTCTTAGGATAATAGATATTCCAATCTCCCCTTACAAGGCAATTCTAGTACATAGATCTTTCATGTCTGTACTGCAATTATTCAAATCCAAACAAGCTTATATATGTGCTTTCGTGCAGTAAAGGCTTAAAATGTGCTTAAGAACTTTTATGCATGTACTTCTTTATTTTCTGCTTAGCACTTGCTAAATTCGCACATAACCTTTTGCAATTTATAAACCTGATGTTAGTAAAACCCAATAGGATGCCTTGAATATTCAAATTGAACTGTAAAAGAATGGATGACAAGATCAGTTTAACATGGCATTGGCCACAATATCTGTACTCTAGTAAACGTGTTTCTTTTACTTCTCTTATAATGCTTTCTTCTTACGGTGGGACACCCAACCAAAGTCAGTTTATTGAATCCTTTGTTCTGTTGCTTTCTTCTTTTGCACCACACATGGCTAAGGAGCTTTGGTTTCACCTTGGGCACTCAAGATCATTGGCCCACGAGCAATTTTCAGAGGTAAGCCTAAACATTCCATGCTTCTGCACATCAGCCAGAAAGTGTGCATTACCTTCACAGCAAATATAGGTTCATGGTGTTCACCATGTCTGATATTAGAAGTTCTACCTTCCATGGATTACCATAAATTTTAGCGAATTGTTGTGAGATGAATGATGCAACTGCAATTATTGTGAGAGTGCCTTCTCTAGTTGCTCAGTCTCCGTCAGCTTCCAGGCCATCTTCTCCAGTAGCAGCTACGTCAGCTTCTCCTGCAGATCATTCCCTGGTAGCAATGAGGTCTCCTTCTCCAGTACCTCAGTCTCCGACAACGGCAAATACATCTACCATTGTTGTTTTGTCTTTACCTGCAGGTATAACAATTACCACAAATATTTTTTTTATTTTCTTGTTGATCATTTTTTTTGTCACTAACTATAAATACCTGTCTTTTTTTTTGTCTGCATCCAGGTGATGCAAGTAGTGGCCTAAGCACTCATGACAAAAAAAAGGAAGAAAAGGGCAAGGAAGGGGAAGGATATTGATGATGTGGTGGAGATGAGAAGAAAATGAGAACCATAGCTGAAGTGGGGAATGTTTACACGAGATGTGTTACATCCATGCCAAACAGGAGGAGCAAGGAATCCTCCAGTGATGTGTGAGTTTCAAATTTCCCTTTTCTCTTTTTGCTAATTCTTACATGTTGCAGTGAACAACAAATGGTTGTTTCACACTACTGTTTTTATATGTCCCACCACATTTTACATACTTGTTTCATCACATTCCCAATTATGTTGCATCAGGCATGCACATACATAGATGACCACTGCATACTGCCCCTCTTTTATGTTTCAGTACAATGGTTATGATTGTTTCAGGACATTTTATCCATATGTTTGAGTAGACTGTACATGTTTGCTGCATCAATACCTTTTGTTTTTTTTTGTTCAACACACTACCTCCATGTTCCAGTTTTTTTCATACTACTGTGTTTAAATGCTCCAGTATGTCACATATACTTGTTTCACAACATTTATGATTATGTTACATCAGCACTGCACATACATGTGCAATGCACATTTGTTTTTTTTATGGTTTAGAACTATATTATTCATACTTGTTTTATCACATAATCCCATTTTGTTACATCAAACTAACATGTTAGTTTGATTACTTCCATATTTTCCATATCATGCTACCACCTCCATTCTTAAAGATGGATGGATTCCATGTTTCACTAAGTATTTTTGCGATGCAATGAAAGCTAGAGGTCGAACAATGAAGTCATGGCTTGTTGGATACAGATGTTCAACGATGAATGTAGAGAAGAGAGCAAGATGCAATCAAACATAAAAAAAATATGTCTTCTCTCCTTTCTTAATTTTTTTTTATCTAGCTTTTGTTACATTTTTTTAATGAGAATTGCTAGCGCACGGGATCCCGTGAGGGATAGAGAGTTACGGGATAGTTAAATGAATCTGTCCACATCAAGCTTTAGTCTCCTACCACGCTACCTTCTTTTCTTTTTCGTAAGACATTGCATGTGGTCTCCTATCGCAAGGCCACGTGCAGCCACCACTCACTGGAAAATTAGCCAGTGTTGTCTTTGATGTGAGTACAAGGTCCGACCTAGCCCCATACACAATATATATGATACCTACATGTACCAGACCGGGTACCAAGTATCATGTCCAGTATCAATGAATACCAAACATGATACCAATATGTATCATATCTAGGTACTAGGTATCATACCCGATACCTATATGTACCAGACCTGATACTTAGGTGTACCATGCTTAATACTCATGATACCTATATGTACCATATATGGGTACCAGGTACCATACCTGATACCTATATGTACCAGACCTGATACTTAGATGTACCATGCTTAGTACTCACGATACCTATATGCACCATATCTAAGTCTCAGGTACCATACCTGATACCTATATGTATCATACCTGATACTTAGATGTATCATGCTTAATACCTAGGTATCATATTTGATACACACTGGTAATGTGCATGTATAGGCTGGTACCAGCCCTACCCCAAAAGTAGCCACGATCCAAGCAACCCATCTATCTGTTTATCCATCCATCCATCCAAAACAACAAAAAACAGAGAAGACAAAAGAAGTCTAGCAACCATGGAGCTAGAGATGTTGTTGCCAACTGTCGTAGGCTCTCCGGACCTTCCATTATAATTGAGAGATGAAATGTATAATTCAAGTCATCAAACAAGTATAATGAAATATCCGACGCCTCGAGAGAGAAATATTGGAGACATTGCCGGGCCTTTAGCCTGCCAGTCAACTTCAGCCTGAGATGTGCCCGTCAAACCACTCGAAGGCGGTGACCAGATGTGTTACACATTCAGGAGACTTGACAAAAATGGCTAAAGATCTACAACATCTCAAATATTCTTAACTCATACTCATGTGAATCTAGTTCCCAGGATGTGCACTAGATTCACACTTTCATCTCAAGCATGATTATACATAGCAAACACAAATAAGATGAAAGCGATTATAAACTACATCTACTTTAGTTACATCGGCCGACTGGCCAAATAAATATATAGAACAGCGGAAGCTTGTCTACCCAATCCACAAGCACACCGACTAGGGGTTTACCCCATTAAGTTCAAGTCCTAGAAGAAGCAGTCGATCACCCGCATCACTCAAAGGCTAAGTCTAAATCCTGCAAGCAAAAGGTTAATTCCATAGCAAGAGTCAGTACATTATTAGAAATAATGTACTGGCAAGCACCAAGACAAGCCTAAGACCCTACTTGCAAGGCATATAATCAAGGAAGGCATAATATGGTTCTTTTTAGCATAAAGCAAGTTTTATTTGCATAAAACATTTCTAAATCAGGTTTACTTTCAAATAAATTTCAGCAAGCTAGTATTTGACGTATTGGGCATCAAGGTAGGCATTAATCATGTATAAATATTCACCTTATTGCCATCCATGGCAGCAAGGAGATCATTCTCAAATCTCATCACAATTTGAAGGTAAATTTCAGCATTTAGGAGAGTAAACACAAGTCTATACTCAATACATATCCACACGCCGCTCATGACCGCGAGCACGGCTAATCGATTAGTTTTAACTCTGCAGAGTTTGTACACTTTACCCACATGATGCGAAATAATAATCATGCAAGAGCATGTCACGCGATACATAAGTACCCGATTTATTACCCACAACAAAGCTTTTCCAAAATTCATGATTTAGCCTTACACCAGCACGATACGTGTTACTCCATCCTAAGCCATACACGTTATATGACCTAGAACCGTTAAGTGGCGGGCCCACGCCTTAAACTTAACGCCGTGGTGGCGGACACAACGGGAACCCACCCACGTGGCACAATACCGTTGTATTGGACAGACTTAGTCACCTAAACTACCACGTCGGGGTAAATAGGAAGTTCCTCTGAGTTATCCGAACTCATACACACCAGCCTACCAGAATGTAAGGCTAAACCATAAATAATTTACTAAGCTTGGGCTATCCCATACTAGCACATGTGGTTGCACTGTATACGAAATGAACTGACATTGAGTGAAGTCCTTAGGTCGGTTTGGGCACACTCTCCCCCTATCGGTACACAACTAATCACCATATGTGCACCACTTGAGGCCCAAACCTAAAATCCATGTTTTTCCACCATTTTATTTATCAAAATCACAAGTATTAAAGTTCTGTCCAGATTAATTAAAAATTTATTTTCATGTTTGTAATGAGCCCATAATGACAAGGAAGACAATTCTAAGCATGGCTAAGCTTTATATAGTAACCTAGTGTCACCAAAAGTCATATATAAAGTGGTATAGTCATATTGTTCCTAAGGTTAGGAGTGAGGGATATGGATATATGTGGGGTCAAGGTGAATGCAAACAATAGGAGTTTGTCCAACAAGTTTAACAAAATTTTAATTTATTAGTGTACAATCGACATGCAAGATTTGCAAACATTTTCAATAACCTCCAAAACATAGGTTCAAAGTGATCAAAGAGAGGGAGGTGGGACTTGCCTTGAATCAGGAAAATATCAGCACCTAAATCACTTCTTCACCGATTAAGCAATCATCTATACAAAGTACACGTTATGCAATTAAACACCGAAATATGCGAAAAATCCAAAATGCTCTAAAATGGATGATTTGTGCACAGCGAATAGGTACTGGTCTAAAATGAATTTAGGTGAAAGAATTTCTATTTTATCTCATTTCATTTGAGAATTATGAATTTTAGAAGTTTCATCGGTATAGCGTAGGATTTACTTAGGTACTATTGTGAAATGCTGTTATAAGGTGATTCTTATTAAGTTTATGTTTGCTGGGGTGAAGATATGTGTTTTCTAAGACTAACACATTTGGTTTCATAATTTTTAGAGTTAATATGAATTCTTTATGTATTTTACAAATTATAACGTGTTATAGGTGTATAGTGTTCTATAGGTTCATGGCTTTAGAGGTTTAGGTCTAGAACTTGCCTCATCTAGCTAGTGATGTATAAAATGAGTATTTTAGTTAACTAATCTAACCTTAGTTCATAGGCTTATGGTCTTTATTATCATGGTTCATATTTTATAAACTAGGGGAGCTCTAGTCCATGTTAGCAATTTATTATATCAACCTAGAAATTATTACATAAGCTAAGTGCCTTAAGTTTTGGTGGATGGGAATGGAACTATGCATTCACTGGTCTAACAAGTTTTATTTGGGTTTCATTATAGCTAGAGTGTATTTCTATGTACATTTATATATATACATATTGCTCAATCGATACTATGTGATTAGCTCCTATCCTATAAATTTAAAGTTTAGAGCTATAACCTGTACAGAAGGTTCCATATTTTATTTTACTATGTTGAAGCCCACTGTTTGCTGGTTCTATAGATATTTGGTTCACTTCATTTAGACTAAAGATGAATTTTCTACAAATTTTACATTTTAAGGTTGCTCTATGATGGTTATTACTTACATAAGTAAGTATATAATTTTATTTTATAACTTGGAAGTATATGTTTTGGTGATTATACAGAACTTGGGTTTATTCAAAAAGGATCTAAGATGAGTTTTATATAAACTTCTAAAGTTCATCTTATGCCAAACTAGTTATTTTAAAGATAATAGTTTTAGAGGCATTTGATGTAAAGTGTTTATATGTTTTATTTTAATTTATTTTTAGAGAACATGTTGGTGGATCTGTAGAAACTAAGTTTGCTCTAAAATGAGTTGAAATGAATTTTGTATGCATTTTATAAATTTGTGCGTGCTTTATGTGTGATTTAACTTGGATAAATTTTAGAGGCTAAATTTGTACTGTGAGTGCAAGTTTTTATTCCATAACATCAAATTTCC